TTCGCCATCAAATCAAGCTTATAATGTGAAACAAAAGTCAGCGGCGTCGACCATGTGGCAGCTCGACAAATGACGTCCAAGGGCACACCCTTCCAAAATGCTGCCGTAGTAGAAACTGCTCTTGTGGAATGTCCTCTCACGGCAGAAGGAATCTCACGCCCAGATTTTTGGTAAGCCAACTTGATGGCTGAAACAATCCATGATGATAGACGCTGCGATGACACAGGGAATCCGCAAGAGTCCTTCCTATACTTCACAAATAACTTAGGCGTTTTCCTTATGTCTTTCGTTCTACTAAGGTAGAACGCTAACGCCCTACGGACATCTAACAAATGGAGACTACGCTCCAAAGGAGAGTCTGGATTCTGGAAAAAGGATGGCAAAATAATATCCTGTGACATATGAAAATGAGAAGTCACCTTGGGAAGAAAGGCAATGTCTGTACGGAGCACTACCTTATCCCGGTGGAACCGGAGATATGGTTCATCTGATCTAAGTGCGCAAAGTTCGCTAACGCGCCGAGCTGATGTAATTGCTACCAGAAAGGAAGTTTTCCAGGAAAGATGAGAAATATCACACGTGGCCATAGGCTCATAAGGCGCACTTTGAAGAGACGAAAGCACGATCTCCAAACTCCATGAGGGAATAACAGGGGCAACTGCTGGTTTGACATTCCCATAACCCTTGAGGAAAAGTTTAACCAAATATTCTCCAAAAAGGGAGGGCAGACCTGCTTTCCGTCTGTACCATGAGATGGCAGCGAGGTAACACTTTAAGGATGAAATAGACAAACCTAAATCAGATAACGAAACTAAGAAGTCTAATACCGCCGAAATTGGCGCTCTAACAGGGTCACAGCCCCTACTTAACATAAATTTTGAGAAACGAGCCCACTTATAAACATAAGAACGTTTAGTAGACGGCTTTTGAGCCGCATCCAAAATAGCCCTAACTGGACTAGACAAACCTAAGGAAGGATCTAATGATCTGGGACTATTCTCCATGCAGTGAGCCTCAACACGTGAACGTCCGGGTAGCAAACCCTTCCGTCCTGTAAAGTCAGAAGGTCTGACCTGCTCGACAGGCGCCTGTACTTCCCGTTGGACATCCCGAGAAGAACTGAGAACCATGGTTGACGAGGCCACCATGGAGACACGAGAATACAGTTCCCTCTGTCCTTCCTTAACTTCGCAAGGACCTTCGCCAGTAGGGGAAACGGAGGAAACGCGTACAGGAAATCTCCTGACCACTTGAGAAGGAACGCATCCCCCAGACACCCCTGCGCTAGATTGGCTCTTCTGCGTGCACAGAAAAGGGGGCATTTCGCGTTCTCCCTCGATGCGAACAGGTCTATTTTCGGGACCCCCCAGATCCTGAAGATCATATTGAGTTCCCCTTGATTGAGAGACCACTCGTGGCTTGAAATGGGAGTTCTGCTTAGCGTGTCTGCCAAAACATTCTCCTCCCCCGGGAGGTGAACGGCCATCAGATGGATCTCTCTCACTATACACCAGTCCCAAATACGCATCGTTAGTCTCGACAGAGTCTGGGACCGTGTTCCTCCTTGCTTGTTTATATAGAACATCGTCGTTGTATTGTCCGTTATCACCTGCACCACCTCGCCCAACAACTCCATCTCGAAAGATTTTAGTGCCTTTTCTACTGCGAGCAGTTCCAGTACGTTTATATGGAACTTGGCCTCCTCCGGAGTCCAAAGACCTCGGGCAGTAAGACCATTGAAATGCGCTCCCCACCCTTTTAAAGATGAATCCGTCGTGACAACAGTCGACGGTTCGGGAAGCTGAAAAGGTAGACCTACAGTAACATTGGCCGGTTCTGTCCACCACAATAGGGAATTTCGCACTTCCTCCGGCACACGGAACCGCACATGGGGGTCGTCCAGGCCATGACGGAACACAGACAGGAACCAGTTCTGGATGGGCCTGAAACGCAAGCGGGCATATGGCGTGACCGCTGTTGTAGAGGCCATATGCCCCAGTATTACTTGAATTGTTTTTGCAGACACTTCCCCTGAACACAGAATTTGCACAACCAGAGACTTGAGTGACTCGAAACGGTCCTCTGGTAGAAACGCCTTCTGGCATGTTGAATCCAAGACGGCTCCAATAAACTGAATTCTGCGGGCAGGTAATAGATGGGACTTCTCTCTGTTCACCACGAGACCTATGGACTGGAGAAGAGAGAGAACTGAGTCAACATGCACACGCAGGAGGTCACATGAGCTCGCTACTAACAGCCAGTCATCTATATACGGATAAACCGTAATGCCCTTAGTCCTGAGATGAGCAGCGACCACCGCCATGCATTTAGTAAAGACTCTGGGGGCCGTAGTAAGGCCAAATGGCAAGACGTTAAAATTAAAGGCCCTGTTTCCAACCATGAAAGCAAGATATTTCCTGTGGTGCTCAGCTATGGATATGTGAAAATACGCGTCTTTTAAATCAATTGATGCGAACCAATCATCTTTATTTAAAAATGGGAGGATCATAGGGAGAGAAATCATACGAAATTTTCTCGAATCAATATACATGTTTACTCCCCTTAAATCTAATATTGGACGCAAACCTCCACCTTTTTTGGTTACTAAGAAATAACGAGAAAAATAACACCTATTGAACATGGAAGAGTGAACGCGCGAAATCGCGCCCTTAATCAGTAACTTCTCAATTTCTTCCAGCAACGCTGGGGATTCAGGAGTAACTCGTAACTGTCCCAACGGAGGCCGAGACTTAAATTCTATTGAATAACCATACTGAACAATTTGGAGGACCCAACTATCGGTCGTTATAGCAGCCCAAGACCGTGCAAACGGTCTAAGCCTATCCTTAAACAGAAAACACTCAACTGGATCAGAAGGCTCAGACTGAAAGGAGCCGAACTGTTGTGGATCGGAAGCAGATGGGTCGTCAAAGACGACGCCTGGGATTCCCTGCAGCCTTAACCTTATTTTGGTTATACGGTTGGTACCTAGGCTTAGCACCAAAGCTCTGCCTACGGTTATATTGGAACTTTGACGAAGCATTCCGATTGCTCTGAACTGAATTATATCCACTAAAATTGGACTTACGATAGAAGGGGACTGATTGCTGCCAACGAGGCTTCTGTTGGCCGCCAGGCTGCCAAGAGTAAGAGTATGGAAAGGGATACTTGGCCGCCTGCATAACCTCCCGTGAATGTTTAATTTTTTCATCCGTTGCCGGGTCAAAAAGACCTTCCTCATGCATTGGAAGGTCTTCTGCCAACAACCTACTCTCCTCTGACAACGAAGACGCACGCAACCACGCATGACGACGTATGGCTGTGGCTGTGGCGAGGAGCTTTCCAGATGTCTCGGCCATATGTTTAGCAAAAGTTTTTTGAAATTTGGAGAGAACAAGAGCCTCAGCCTGATAAGCCTTAGGAAGACGGCGGTCTTCAATAGGCAGGAGATGGATAAAAGGTAGTATCTTGTTCCAGAGAAAACTCTGGTATCCAGACATGTAGGTGGCATAATGAGCCATCCTAGCGAATAGCCCCGCAGCTACATGCACTTTCTTTCCAAGGGACTCTATCTTTTTGCCTTCTTTGTCTGGTGGTGACACAGAATATTTCTTAGGTCTCCTAGACCTGGCTGCCTCCGCCACCACCGTATTAGGAGCAGTGGGGCGTGCAATCCAATTTGCTGTTGAAAGATCTACTCTATAGAAAAGGTCAACCCGCTTTGGAATAGCTGGGGCAAGTGACGGGGAAATATCAGGGACCTTCGTCAACTTTAGCAAATATGGCAGTGTCGGGAGTAGAGTAGAAGAAGAAGTGTCCTGTTCCTCAGGTGTAAACATATGGTCATCCACTGCAGAAACAGGTTTGGGAGCAGGGATGCTCAATGCAGTTATCATCCTCCCAATCATTTGCACAAATTTATTAAAGTCATCCATACGGTCCACATTAGCCTCCTTATCAATGTCTACATTAGGAGCCTCCATCATCTCTACAGAGGCATCAGAGTCAATATTGTCAGGTTGAAGGCGATCCTCACAGACAGATGGCAATGGTGTTCCCCTTTGGGAATAATAATATCCCTGGTGCTCATTCCTCATGCCCACAGGAATTGCCTCTCGTCCAGCCAACTGACTTTCAAGTCCATAGTCCTCATTACGACACCTAGGAAGACATAAATTCTCTTGATCATGAGATATGGGTGGTGGTGGACCACAGTAAATGAATTTCCCTTGAGGTGTAATCTCATAAAATCCTGGATGAGGAAGGGGAAGCTTCCTATTGTCCTGACGGGAAGGTCTAGTAAAGGAGGCTTTCTTCACTTTTTTCGCACGTGCCTGCCTGCGCATCCTAGCAGAGCACGATGAATCAGAACAAGAACTGGTGGATGAGGAGGAGGAGGAGGAGGAGGAGTCACTGGAGCTAGATCGATCTCGGCGCCTCCTCTTGCCCTTGCTCCTGCGGGAAGGAGCGCGAGCACGGCGCCGACTCGGGGCCCCAGCTCCCAGAACCCCCGAAGTGGAAGGAAGCGCTGAGCTTGCTTTGCGCCGTTCCAAATCCCCAGCGCTCGCGCCAGCTGATAAAAGGAGCCCTTCATAAGTTGCTTGCCTTGGCTCCTCCTCTGAGGCAGTCCCTTGGGCCATGGGCGGAGCCGGCGCCGAGAGCGTCGGCATCGGCGGCGTGACGCCRGTCTCCTCCCGCGCACGCGCGGGGCGTGCTGGAGCCGATCTCGGGTCTCTTTCACTTTCGAWATCCTCCTGAGCTCGCGCGTGGCGAGCAGAGGCTGTTGCCGGCTCTTCAGCATTGGGAAAGCCAYGTGGAGGAGTCTCCTTGCCCATCTCGGCYGGAGGAACCWGCTGAGGGGCTGCGGCTTGTTTTGAAAGCTTCGYCGTGGCCGACTTGCCCTCAATATTCTTCATTTTCTTYATTCTTTTTGCCGGCTTCGTTTGGGACGCCAGACCAAGTAAGCTCTTATCTTTTGGCTCAATAGACTTAGTCATAACAGGGAGAAGCGCCCTTTCATAGAGGGCAGCCTTTAAACGAATTTCCCTGTTCTTCCTTGTTTGTGGGGTGAAGGACTGGCATATAGAACAGGTTTGTGATAAATGTCCTTCACCCAAGCAGGCGATGCATAGCGAATGTGCATCATTATCTGGATAATTGCTCTGGCAGGCAGAGCAACGTTTAAAGCCCTTTGTAAGGGACATCTCAAAAATAATTTCTAAATCAACCGGTCTGAACGGCAGGAAGATCCGGGCTTGCTGCTTTTAGCGCGGATGAAGAGATCTGGAGGCGGTTGGCCAGCCGCAGGCTATTTATGCTATCTTGGGGAGTGTGCGCGGGGCCAACCGCTTTTTCTTTTAAATTTTAACTGAAAATTCCGGATGAGGCTGCGCATGCGCAGAGAGAGTACCATTAGTGCGAATTCACAGCACAGACACGTAGGGAAAGTATAATTTCACAAAAATGTGCAAGTGTTTTGAGTTTTCTGGAACTCTTCCTCAGGCTCGATGGTCAGATGGGAATCGACAGGCCAGAGGGAATATGGAAGGTAAAATAATTGGGTTAGATGTTTTGGCCATGAGATCTGCAAATCCCCAAAATAGAGAATGCATGCTAGTTAAGGCATAGGTGAAAGAGAAAAGGTGATTCTCAAGGGTTTTCATGTTTTACAGCTCTGAACTGCCAGCCTTAGCTGTTCACACCAATTGCCCACCAAATGGTAAAATGGGATCTGGATGATGCCAATTAGAGGCCTCATTATAGGCAACGAAAACAAAAATGACTCACTGGAAGAATGATTTGCAATTACAAAACCACATATGATGGGAGGAAGGCTTCATTAGAATAACGGAGTTGGAAGAGACCACAAGGAACATCCATTAGAACTCTTCTTTAGTGATCTCTGGGTGTTTCATTTGCAAGGTTTTTTTTGTGTCAGGAGCGACTTGAGAAACTACAAGTCGCTTCTGGGGTGAGAGAATTGGCTGTCTGCAAGGACATTGCCCAGGGGACACCCGGATGCTTTACCATCCTGAGAAGGTTCTCTCATGTCCCTGCATGAGAAGCTGGAGCTGACAGATGAGAGCTCACCCCTTCCCCGGATTTGAACCACCTACCTTTAGGGATGCCCAGATGTTTTACCATCCTATGGGAGGCTGCTCTCATGTCCCTGCATAAGAAGCTGTAGCTGAGAGACGGGTGTGCATCCCGCTTCCCGGATTTGAACCACCAACCTTTTGGGATGCCCAAATGTTTAACTATCCTGTAGGCTTCTCTCATGTCGCTGCATGAGAAGCTGGAGCTGACAGATGGGAGTTCACCCAGCTCCCCAGATTTGAACCACCGACCTTCTGGGACACCCGGATGTTTTACCATCCTGTGGGAGGCTTCTCTTATGTCTCTGCATGAGAAGATGGAGCTGACAGGTGGGAGCTCACCATGCTCCCCGGATTTGAATGACCAACATTTTGGGACACCTGGATGTTTTATCATTGTGTGGGAGGCTTCTCTCGTTCCTGTATGAGAAGCTAGAGCTGACAGACGGGCCCCTACCCCGCTCCCTAGATTCCAACCACCTACGTTTCGGTCAGCAGCCCTGCTGGCACAAAGGTTTTAACCCTTTGCACCCCCGGGGGGCTCCTATTTAAAAAGTAAATGGATACAAGAGGAGAACATAATGAGCAATAATTCAAGCACACTCCCATATACCTGTATTCTGCAGTGGCACATGAGAGGATCTGAGAACAAGGGTTCAAAAGATATGGGGAACCAAAACATATCGTTCACACTTGTTGGCCTAGAGCTCTCTTATCAAAGACTTCCCGGTACTCCATCAAATGGAAAATCACAGGATGGGCCCATAATGAGTAAAGTTGTCTAAAACTCATGTAATGTGTAGTGCAGATATCTGATGTGTGAATTTCTGGTTGGTGCTAATTACTAGCAATCTGGCACAAAAACAAAACAAAACAAAACAAAAACACAGCAGATTCAGAAAGCCTGAATACGGTTCTCAAGAACACTAGACTCTCCCTGCAATATCCAGAATGCATTTCCATTTTGAGCAAGAGCACAACAAACCCACACTTATCTCATCTATACTTCAAAGCCCTTATATAAACCATTACCTCAGAGGCAACTAAATTAAGAGACGTAATCAGATGGTGATACAGATGGTCTTTATTATAGCGAATCCCACTCTGCAAGAGAGAGAAGAGAGAAAGCTCTTATTGCACCAAAACCTCTTAACCGGTAAAAACCAATGTATAAATTACACATACTTTGGGGTTGTGAGGGTGTTGGCAGTGACACTGTGGAGGAAGGACCGGCAAGTAACACTGGCCCCAAGCCTGCAGGAGACAGTGTGGGACTTTGTAGGGATGCAAGGAAAATCAGTAGCTCAACAAAGGTGTGTTGTTTTTTCCCCTTTGGTACAAGAGGTTCTGCAGTAAGGTAATACATAATTTGGCTTATTATATGAATACATGGATGGCAACTCAGTTCAGTGCAACACCCAAATCCCAAGAATTCCAACCTAGATCCTAAATCTGGTGTTTCTCACCAATCATCACCCCTTTTCCCATCTCTTCTATGGCTTTGGCCCCCATGTCCTACTGAAAATATAATAATCTGACTTCTGTGGAAAGAAGGAAATCTTAAGGAATAGGTTAGGTCTAAGATGGCCACCATTCAAGTAGTAAACCTAGTCATCTTTGTGTTGTTGAAGGCTTTCATGGCCGGAATTACTGGGTTGCTGTAAGTTTTTCGAGCTGTATGGCCTTATTCCAGAAGCATTCTCTCCTGACATTTCGCCTGCATCTATAGCAGGCATCCTGAGGTTGTGAGGTTGAGGATGCCTATCATAGATGCAGGCAAAACATCAGGAGAGAATGCTTCTGGAACATGGCCATACAGCCCGAAAAACTTACAGCAACCTAGTCATCTTTGATTTAAAAAAAACCACACAGGGAAAACAGAACTTTGTTGTGCAAAGTTGGACCACAAAAAGGGAAGTAAACAAGTACAGAAGATGAGGCTCCTGTTCTATCAAGATATTGATATATCTTGTATGGGGAAAGTCTTTCTTCCCTTAGAAGAGTTTTGTGGTAGGCAAAGCTCTACTTCAACCCTTCAGATGTTTTTGGACTGCAATTCCTAGCATCCCTTACCATTGGTTGCACCGGCTGTGGCTGCTGGGACTTGCAAAGCAACAATATTTGGAAGATGTATTGTCGAAGGCTTTCATGGCCAGAATCACTGAGAAGCTGAGTGTTTCCCGGGCTGTATAGCCACGTTCTAGAAGCATTCTCTCCTGACGTTTCGCCTGCATCTATGATTCTTCCAGACTTGAGCAGGGCCGTTGATGACAGGACGACTTAAAGAGATTTTTCATTCATAAGACTGTATTAAATTCAACTTGGCAGCACAAAGCAGTGATCAAAATCCTGTTAGTGATACATGCATAATGTATGCATATGTAAGTATAGTAGGCTTGGTTATTTTTTTGGTTGACAATGGGAAATGGTCCCTTGGAGGTGTACATGTGGAACCGGTGGGTATTCAGCAGAACATTAAGATACACAGAGTAGAGTGTGGGATACGAATTATTGCCTTTTGTGCCTTGTGTATTGCAATTACCTAATTAATTATTAGCAGTGTTCCTTAATCATTGAGCCACATATTTGGTGCTACACTGGTATCCAGTCTAGACATTGTGTTACACAGCACTCTGCCAGGGGTAATTGATGTGATGCAGAAGAGATGGAGGTTCTTGGATAGTGTGGATGGGGAGCTGATATCTATCATTTCATTTGGAAGCTGTCCAAAGGAGGATGACTGCCAACTTGGGCCCTCCAGGTGTTTTGGACTTCAATTTCCACCATTCCTAACAGCCTCAGGCCCTTTCCTTTCCCCCCTCAGTGCTTAAGGCATCCTCAGAATTGTGAAGTCAGACCTCACGTCTGAGGATGCTTGCCATAGATGCAGGCAAAACGTCAGGAGAGAATGCTTCTGGAACCTGGCCATACAGCTCGGAAAACACACAACAACCCAATATTTGGAAGGCCAAATGATTCCCATCTGCTTTCATGGAAGAATTAATTAAAAAGTCAGGGTAAGCAAGATGGGTCATTATTTATCGATTATCAGACTCTACTGCCCTTCTCCTAAAATACAAATACATGATTGACAAAAGAGGAATATCTCATTTCAACGATGGTCATCTTAAAATGATGCACAAGTGAATAACCTTTCAATGTCCAGACCGCACGTATGGTTTTTCCTAGGCTTACCATGCCACGTAGCGTCGTGTAACAAAAACAGCTGATGGCAACTGAGCAAGAAATATACATTCCAAAAGTAAAGCATTATTGGGAGAAGGCTGTTTCAAATAACAGTTTCCTTATGGCCATGCAAAGGTTTGACACATTTTTGCCAAGACAATGTGAACGATCAGCTAAAACGGAAACACGCAGCCAGAGAGAATAATGAAGGGGCAGCAATACTTTATATGGAAATATAAGGATGTTTTGTTTGAAATATGTATATTTGTACAGTCAGGAGAAACGGCTAATGAATTATCAGTTGGAAAAGTATGGGAATGATATGCCCCTCTTGGGGAAATAGTCTTGCTCAGTTTGGGAAAATAAAGGGTTTGGGAAAGAATGAAGGGGCTTCTCTCATGGCTGAATTTGACGCCCCTCAAAAGATAACATCAGCAGTGCAGGATTGTCAAAATCCCCCAAAGGAGTCTATTTAGCTGCCTTTCAAAACGATGCACCAAATTCCTCCCTTTCAACCCGAACTTGTGGCAAATCTCTTCCCAGCAACTACTTTCCCCCCGAAACAATGTATAAATATTATGAGGGTTATGTAGGAAGTCAGGAGGAGGAGGCTGGATCTAACCATCATCCAATATGGACCACAAAGCATTTGGGAAGACAGGGATCATAACAGCAAGCACGAACTGCACAGCTGGAGTGGCTAATCAGAGGCAAGGCCTCATCCCGTTGAGGCAAAGGTTGGCAGCCAGTCCCTTTGGAACAGGCATGGGCAAACTTCGGCTCTCCAGGCATTTTGTACTTCAACTCCCAGAAGTCCCAGCCACCTTACTGGCTGTTAGGAATTGTGGGAGCTGAAGTCCAAAACACCTGGAGAGCTGAAGTTTGCCCATGCCTGCTTTGGAAGGATGAGGGGCGTTTGGCTCCCAGCCCTACACTGTAGCCTGGAAGGGCTATTTCCTTTTTGCACGTTCAGCAACGTCCAAAGCAGCCATGTTGCAGGAGGCCGAGACCAAGTGGATGAGGCTGATGAGGCTCTTGATGATGGCGATGGGGAAGGAGACCCACAGCACCAGGCGATAGAGACCAACATGGGTGTGCAAGACTGGAAGGCCAAGAAGAAAACAAAGCAATAAGCATATAAATAATAACAACAACAATAATAATAATATCAATATCATCAATAATATTAATAATAATAAATGTAAATACGGTATATACTTGAGTATAAGCCTAGTTTTTCAGTCCTTTTTTTAGGCTGAAAAAGTCTCCCCCGGCTTATACTCGAGTCAATGTTATTTATTATTTTACTTTGTTGTTATTATTATTGTTGCACTTATTATTTTATTGTTGTTGTTATTATTACATTTATTTTACTCTATTTATTATTGTTATCGTTACATTTATAATTTTACTGTATTGTTATTATTACATTTATTATTTTACTCTATTATTAGTGTTATTATTACATTCCATTATTTTACATTATTATTATTATTATTATTATTATTTTACTCTTATTATTAGAGGACATGTAAGCATATTCACTTTGAAGACGGTTAGAATAATGGTTTAATCAGAGTTGGACAGTCTTATCTTGAATTACAGTTTTATGTAAATATTCAAATATTCAGTCCCTCTTATGAGGTGAGAAGCTCAGTATATAAAATTTTGAAATAAATAAATAAATAAAAACATTTAACCTAACGATGCCCAAATTAATATAATGTTATTAGTATCTATTTTTATTTTGAAATTTACCAGTAGCTTCTGCATTTCCCACCCTCGGCTTATACTCGAGTCAATACATTTTCCCAGTTTTTGGTGGTAAAATTAGGTGCCTCGGCTTATATTCGGGTTGGCTTATACTCGAGTATATATGGTAACAATTAATCTATACACATAATAAGAGTGAAAATATGACACTGCAGGTTATAGTGAGTGAACATGTACAAGAACCCTGCCAATGTCCTCCACCAACATCATACTGCCCACCAACAAGTGAATGCTTTCAATCGGGGACCATTTCCATCTAGATTTTATGTTTTTCCTCCACCACAGACATCTCAGTGTTTCTGACTCTCTCCATTGGTGTGGAATTTGCATGACTCTGCCCACTGCCTCTCCCATTACCCTTTCCTTCTTGTCTCTATGGCACACAGCTAACAGAGAGAAATTAATCAGCAGCTGAACATACTGGAGGGGTTCGTGGGACTGACTCAACGTGATGGAAGTTGCAGTTCACCCTATACAGACAATGGACCTGGACCACATTTGGCACACAGAACCCCCATGACCAATAAAAAATACTGGAGAGGTTTGTGGGGGGGATTTAACTTAATGTATAGTATTTGTAGGTACTGGGATTTATAGTTCACCTACAATCAAAGAGCATTCTGAGCCCCGCCAGTGATGGACCTGGAACTAACTTGGCACACAGATCCCCTATGGCCAACAAAAAATACCGGAGGTCTTTGGAGGGTTATATAGGAGTTGTAGTTCAACTACATCCGGAGAGCACTGTGAACCGAATCTGGACCAAACGTGACACACAGACCCAACATGGCTAAGTTTGAATGTTTGAGAACTGCAGTTCACCCACATCATTATGCATTTTCTCATGGGAGCATTCATAAAAAACAAAAGCAAAGACAGACTTTTTTCCCTAATGAATAGCGTTAGAAATTACCAAACGGATATTACCTAACATCCAAAAACTAACAATGCCTTTTGCACCCAAACTAGTCATAAATAATATTAATAACAATTAGTAACAATTAATAGCATTTATTTATTTATTTATTGTCGTGTCTGGAGTGACCTGAGAAACTGCAAGTCACTTCTGGTGTGAGAGAATTGGCCGTCTGCAAGGACGTTGCCCACGGAACGCCTGGATGATTTGATGTTTTATCATCCTTGTGGGAGGCTTCTCTCATGTCCCCGCATGGGGAGCTGGAGCTGATAGAGGGAACTCATCCACCTCTCCCTGGATTCGAACCTGTGACCTGACGGTTTAACCCACTGCGCCACCAGGGGCTCCATAGCATTTCATAATAATTAACCATTAATAATAATAATAAGTAATGGCAAAGGTTTCCCCTGACATTAAGTCTAGCTCTGTCTGGGGGATGGTGCTCATCTCCATTTCTAAATCAAAGAGCTGGCATTGTCCATAGACACCTCCAAGGTCATGTGGCCAGCATGACTGCATGGAGTGCCGTTACCTTCCTGCAGAAGCGGAACCTATTGATCTACTCACATCTGCATATTTTCTAACTGCTAGGTTGACAGAAGCTGGGCCTAACAGCAGGAGCGTGCCCTGCTCCCTGGATTCAAACCACCAACTTCTTGGTCAGCAAGTTCTGCAGATCAGTGGTTTAACCTGCTATGCCATTAGGGGGGCATTTATTTATTAATGTTGAGAACCACTGCTCTAGTTAGTGCCTCACCAAACTACACATCCCAGGATTCCACAGGATGCAGCCGTGGAATCACTGTGGCATCTTAGTGCTATATAACGGTGTGGTTCTGCATACTCACCTTCTGGTCCTTCACCAAAACACAGCAAGTACAGCATGCAGTAGAAGAGTTCGTTACCAGCACACATAGTGAAGAGGACGGGCTGAAGGGGGAGAGAGAAGAAAAAGAAGTATATCAGGAATAAACAAGCCAGGAAAGAATAACAGGCATGGGCAAACTTGGGCCCTCCAGGTGTTTTGGACTCCAACTCCCACAATTCCTTTTTTTTAAATTTTTTTATTGGTTTGTGGTGCATACAGAAAACAAAACCGACATCAAAGGAAAACCAAAATAAGTAAAAAGTAAAAAAGAAAGAGAAAAAAAACAGAAAAAAAGAAAAAAAGAAATACAAAAGAGTATGCCAGTTAGCAGAATGGTATACAGTCAACGCTCATTAAACATATAAAAAATCAACTTTGACTGTACAGTTATAATAAATTAACATTTATTGTCCCTCTAACCCCACACCCGTGAACCCAACCCCTGTGACCTCCGACACCACTCCGTATGGATCACATAACTAACCCGCTACTACCCACGTATCTTCTTTCACTGAATCCCCTTTATGGCAATCTTCAAATCTACTTTTGTCTTCTTTTCAAGATATCCAATTGCCAACCGCCATTTGGTGCCTCGGCTTATTGTGGGAATTGTGGGAGTTGAAGTCCAAAACACCTGGAGGGCCCAAGTTTGCCCATGCTTGTTATACAAGCTTCACAATATCAAGGAAAAACATAAAATCAGATAGAAGAAAGCAATCAAGTCGATACAAGCAGCATGACGGTATCTCAAAAGAGCTTCTGGACTTAAATCAGTGCTGGATTGATGTCTAAAGGCTAGAAAAGAAGGGAGGAAGAAATTGATAAGAGAGATTCCTTAGGGAGGGAACCCTATGAGTTTGCTAACAATCTGATAGATTGTCAACAAAACTTCCAAGGAACTTCTCAAAAGACAGGCAGAATCTTCAGTGAGCACATGGCCTTTTAGTTTCTTGAGTTTAGACCATTTAAGACAAGGCTCACTGGGGTCATTTGTGGCCCTGGTTCAGAAAGTTGCATTGGATAGACTGCATCACCTCTAGATGCTTAGATACAGTTACTATGATTTTTGGTGGGTGAACAGATGAAGAATGGCATATGGCATCTTCTGTGTCTCAAAAACTAGTGCTGATACGGGAAAACCGGTGCCATTTTTGGAATTAGAAAATCGAATATACCCAAAAAATGTGTGATCGCCAGTAATTAATGCTCATGGTTCCCTGAGCACAACTCTAGTTATCTCATATTTCCAATATTGGGTTGCTGTGAGTTTTCCAGGCTGTATGGACATGTTCCAGAAGCATTCTCTCCTGACATTTCACCCACATCTATGGCAGACATCCTCAGAGTTTGTGAGGTCTGTTCGAAAATAGGCAAGTGGGGTTTATATATCTGTGGAATAATGTCCAGGGTGGGAGAAAGAACCCTTGTCTGTTTGAGGCAAGTGTGAATGTTGCAATTGGCCACCTTGATTAGCACTGAATGGCCTTTCAGCTTCAAGGTTACTGCCTGGGGGAATCCTTATTTACTGTCCTGATTTTAGAGTTTTTTAAATACTGGTAGCGAAATTTTGGTTATTTTCATGGTTTCCTCCTTTCTGTTGAAATTGTCTACATCAGTGGTTCTCAACTTGTGGTCCCCAGATGTTTTTTTTTTGCCTACAACTCCCAGAAATCCCAGCCAATTTACCAGCTATTAGGATTTCTGGGAGTTGAAGGCCAAAAACATCAGGGGACCCACAGGTTGAGAACCACTGGTTGACACGGTTCTGGATTTCAATGGCTTCTCTGTGTAGTCTGACATGGTGGTTGTTCGAGTGGTCCAGCATTTCTGTGTTCTCAAATAATATGCTGTGTCCAGGTCAGTTCATCAGGTGCTCTGTTATGGCTGACTTCTCTGGTTGAATTAGTCTTCAGTGCCTTTCATGTTCCTTGATTCATGTTTTAACAGACTTCACAAACTCTGAGGATGCCTGCCATAGATGTGAGCGAAATGTCAGGAGAGAATGCTTCTGGAACATGGACATATAGTCCGAAGAACGCACAGCAACCCAGTGATTCTGGCCATGAAAGCCTTCGACAACACATTTCCAAGATTGTTTCCAAATACTAAATATGGTGTGGAAATGCAACCAGGAGACAAAAGAGAAGGAAAATAATAATAATAATAATAATAATAATAATAATAATAATAATAAAAACTTTATTTATATACCGCCCTATCTCCCCTAGCGGACTCAGAGCAGTTTCCACATATGCAAAATAATACAAAAACATACAATACAAAACAAAAACATAGGCATAAAACTGTTAACACAACATATACATTAAAATCAATTTAAAACCAGTTCCGCTTTCACAGCTATGAGTGGAAGACATGATGAAATAGTAAGATTGTGACAGCATTTGGCTTTGGAGATCACAAAAAAGGGAGGATGCCAATGGTAGGGAAGTGGGATGCTTGAGAAATGTGATGGGAACAGTTCTAAAAGGGTGCAAACTTCACTCACCCGGGAGTTGTAATAGACTCGCAGGATCGGGTTCCCTGACAAGTCGATGCTCTTGTGGCTCTCTCCGCCTTTTACCACTGTGCTAAAGGAACGAGAAGAAGAGCCTATTAAAATGGTGGCTTGGAACACTCAACCTCTCCTCTCAATGGCGTGTCATTCATCCCCATCAACTCTACTCCCGCTATCCCAGAGCTTTGCTTCTGAAATATTTTTTTTCTAGAAAAGATGACCCACTGTCCATTGCAGTGGGTCATCTTGGGCTACTTACCTGTGAAGATGGAGCCAATGGGAGGCAATATCCAGGCTCATGCTGAGCTGGAACCAGAGGGCGGATTCAGGATAGAGCATGGCCAGGTTCACCAACAGGCACATGGTGGCGCAGCGGTCCGTCAACATGTCCAGCATGGCGCCAAAGCGGGTGCCTGGGATGAAGATCGTGGATTAGGAACAAAGAAGTTCCACGAAGTGGAAGAAGAGGAGGACATCAACCAAGGCGGAGGATGGAGGAAACAGTTCAGCAAGAATGCAGGTTGTACGCTCCCCAGATGTTTTGGATTGCACTGGCCAGCATTATTAAGAGTGGGAGATCACTATATGTCTATATTGAATTATTTTACTGTTTATTTTCCACTTTTTCCCCAACCTCAAGACTCAAGGAGGCTTACAAAAGTCAGATAACCAATAAATAATCACAGCATTCAAAAATCTACAAAAGTTAACACAGAACACAAAATTTGAAAATTGTTCCTGGTTTCAAAGTGTTATTTCCTGTTTAATTGTGCAGTACTTACTTTGAAAGAAACTGTTCTACTCCAGAAACTTCATTTTTGTGGTTGCCACAAACTATGTTTAGTTGGTTGAGACTCTATGAGATATTCATTAAAAAACTACAGCAAAATGTACTGCAGGGTGTCCTGCAAAAACAAAGCTTTTGCAGCTTAATAATTTTCCCCCTGTTTTTATAATAGAGCCAATTAGGAATTTGCATTTATAAACCAGGAACAAAAATTGTGTTACATAGTATATTTAAAGATGGCTTTGAAAGATAGCAGATTTCAGGCACTATCTTTAGCAGCTTATGATACTGTAAATCATTGCCTCCTCCTGATAACATGTATAATATCACAAAAGTTTACCACCTCACCTGCTTCATAGGAAATCTGCTACAAAACAGGAGCTTTTTTGTTGAGTTCCAGAGCCAGAGAATCATATGGTGAAAACAGAAGAATGGCCTGTCTCAGTGGAGAATGCTTGCTCCATCAATGTTTAAGATTTACACAAATGACTAGACACTGCCAGAAGGGACAGAGAGTTTCATCTATGATGACAATCGTGCCATCATCACTCAAGCAGGGAGCTTTGAAATGATTGAATGGAAGCTCTTCGAGGCTTTAGGTGCTCTTACTGCCTATTACAGGGAAATCCCTAATCCATCTAAAATGCAGGAGTGTGCTTTTTAACTTAAGAACAGACAAGCATTTCAAGCTCTGAGGATTACCTGGAAAGGAATCCCACTGGAGCATTGCAGCACACCAACAAACCTGGGAGTCACTCTGGACCATGCTCTGACCGGAAGAAGCACTGCTTGAATATCAAGCAAAAAGTGGGCGCTAGAAACAATATCATGCGAAAGCTGACTGGCACAACCTGGGGATCACAACCAGAGACAGTGAAGACATATGCCCTTGCACTTTGCTACTCTGCTGCTGAGTATGCATGCCCAGTGTGGAATACATCTCACCACGTTAAAACAGTGGCTGTGGCTTTTAATGGGACATGCCACATTATCACAGGATGTCTACACCCAACACCTCTGGAGACTAGAAACAATGGGAACTAGAAACAATATCATGTGAAAGCTGACTGGCACAACCTGGGGATCACAACCAGAGACAGTGAAGACATCTGCCCTTGCACTATGTTACTCTGCTGCTGAGTACGCATGCCCAATATGGAATACATCTCACCACGTTAAAACAGTGGCTGTGGCTTTTAATGAGACATGTCATATTATCACAGGATGTCTACACCCAACACCTCTGGAGAAATTTTACTGTTTAGCTGGTATTGCACCACCTGATATCTGCAGGGAAGTAGCAGCCAGCAATGAAAGGACAAAGGAATTCACATCTCCAGCCCATCCTCTGTTCAGATATCAGTCAGCTTGCCGATATCTGAACAGCAATGAAAAAATAGCTTCCTAAGATCTACAGAGATACTCGCAGGAACACCTCAGCAAGCAAGAATCCAAAAGTGGCAGGCTAAAACCCAGAACCTCAATCAGTGGCTGATAACGGATGAGAAACTCCCTCCCGGGCAAACAGAAGACTGGGCAACTTGGAAGGCGCTAAACAGGATGCACTGTGACACCACGAGATGCAGAGCCAACATTAAAAAATGGGGCTACAAAGTGGAGCCCACGACATGCAAGTGCAGAGAAGAGCAAACCACAGAATACCTACTACAATGCAACCTGAGCCCTGCCACATGCACAATGGAGGACCTTCTTGCAGCGATACAGGTGGCCAGCTTCTGGTCAAAGGAAATTTAGCATAATGCTTAAAATTTTAACTTTGTTTATGTTTTTTTAAATACATTATAACTGTATCCTCAATCTGATTCTGACACGATAAATAAATAAACTATCCAGACAACGCACACATGGCTTCCTACTCCTTTTTGGCGCAAATTGAAAGGAGTATTGATCAAGCTTACCTTGGTTAAGGGCCCGGGCTGCATGGCCATCAAAGGCATCGAGGAAACCACTCAGCAGATAGAAAAAGGATGCCGTCAGGTGCGAAGTTGGCATAAAATAGAAAGCAATAAAAGCGAAGATTATACGAGCATAACCTGTGATGGAAAACAAAGGCATTGCTGTTGAATCATCAGCCTCTCCAGTATACAACTCTTCCCCACTCAATTTTTATCTGGTGCCCCACTATTATTACCACCCCATCCTTCTAGGCAAGAGCCAGATAGTTCTTAATTATTCACCCATTGCTATATGAATAAAATCAGTGTAGATTAGGCATGGGCAAACTTTGGCCTGCCAGATGTTTTGGACTTCAACTCCCACCATTCCTAACAGCCTCAGGCCCTTTCCTTTTGCCCCTCAGCCGCTTTTGCCCCTCAGCCGCTTTTGCCCCTCAGCTTAAGCGGCTGAGGGGCAAAAGGAAGGGGCCTGAGGCTGTTAGGAATGGTGGGAGTTGAAGTCCAAAACACCAGGAAGGCCAAAGTTTGCACATGCCTGCTTTAGTTGTTACTAGGGAGAAGGAAATGTGCTTGTTATGCCTCTGCCTGCCATGGTCAAAATAACCCAGTGGACTTTCAATACAATGCATTTTGACTGGGATCGTTCCATTTCTGCTCTGCCTCAGGCAGCCAAGCATCTTGGGCATCATCAAGCAAGTGAGTCATTTGCCAGTATGTAAGCAAATTTCCTTTCTGGCAGTTATCAGTCCATAAAGAGACGTTCCTTCTGGCAATTGCTGCTTTTGGCTGACTGTGAACGCTACAAGGATGCAAATGGACTGGATGGTGGGAAATGCAGGGATCCCGGAATTGTTTTTTTAGGCCCATGTGTGTTTGCGTATGTGTGTATCAATCATTGCCAGGCAGGCTGTTCTTAAGTTTTGCCTACTTTCAGGGAAGGTGTGTGTGCACATTACTTTCCACCGTCCTTAAATAGGAATTTTCTTACAAGCATAATATAAACAGTGGGCTCTTGGTATCTGCTAGAGTTTGGTTCCAGGACCTCCCAAATCTGTGGATGATCAAGTCTCATTGCATACAATGGCTTTGTAGAATAGTGTCCGTTATGTAAGACTGCAAAATCAATAATATTTTTTGGGATTTTAAAAGAATATACATTTAAACAATGGATGATGGAATTGATAGGTGCAGAATACAGCCAGCCAGCTGGACTAATGATCAAAGCAGATAATCCACATTATCTGCTTTGAACTGGATTATATGGCAGTGTAGACCAGGCATGGCCAAACTTGGGCCCTCCGGGTGTTTTGGACTTCAACTCCCACAATTCCTAACAGCCTACCGACTGTTAGTAGTAGTTTCTTCAATGCTTAGACCATAGGTCTTTCACATACAAGGCAAGGCAAATAAATAAATACATGAACAACAGATTATTAAATACAATATAAGGAATTGTGGGAGTTGAAGTCCAAAACACCCAAAGGGTCAAAGTTTGGCCATGCCCTGTGCAGACTCAGACAATCCAGTTCAAAGCAGATAATGTGGATTATCTGCTTTGATCGTCTGGATTATATGAGTCTGTACTGGGCATGGGCATACTTTGACTCTTTGTAGAAGGGGCCTTAGAAGTGTAGAAGGGGCCTTAGAAGTGCCCTTCTCGAGTCCAGTAGAGCTAAATTCCCAAGGATAGCCTGCAAGTCAATACATTATTACTGGAAGTCCACAAAGGCATTTCTTTGTGCTTGATCACATAGCATACTTGGGCTCAAGTCTTAGTGCATCAACACTGTAGAATTATGGCAGTTTGACACCACATTGACTGCCAAGGCTCAATACTATAGAATTATGGGAATTGTAGTTACCAACCTACAACTCTTGGGATTCTTCAACATTGATCTATGTCAGGTATGAGCAAACTTCGGCCCTCCGGGTGTTTAGGACTTCAACTCCCACAATTCCTAACAGTCTTCATCAATCCCCCAATCAATCAATCAATCAATCAATCAATCAATCAATCAACGTACCAATGAGGTTGGGGACGAAGAGGAAGATGTTTTCTTGCTTCATGTTGCTGCCAGTTCCTGTTCCTGCTATTTCTCGGCCTCTTCCTTGCAAGCCCTGCCCGACCCAAAGACCAAGGCAAGCAGGTAGAGGTCAGGCAACACCCTCCGCTCTTCTCCTAAGGAAACCAGGTGGCTGGATCCCCACCCTTTTCCTTTGCTGATCCCACGCACTATAGGAAAACCAGGAAATGCCCCCCTTTTTGTATTTTTGCAACCTCCCGCTAGACTTCCCAGGCTAGGAACAGAGAAAAAAAAAAAGCACGCGGTCCCTTTAAGAACCTTGACAATAATAGATCTCCCCCTCTGTGGTTTTGGTTTAGTCCAACCCGGTCGAACGGCCGGCGCAGCATGTTACAGAGTTGGATTAAACCAAATCGTAAAAGGGGGTGATGTATTTTTTGTTATAGCACGACCATACACCTTAACGTACAACCTGGGAGAAAAAGGTAGGAAGAGAACAATGCAGTTTTATTTTAAGGAAAGGAAATCTCATTCTTCACACCTCTGTGCTGGGTGTAAGAAATACTTCTGGCCCTTTTATTTTACAGACTCCCCCTCTCAATGGATATAAAGGTGTTCCCACCCTATTTTCGGTTTTGGTTCAGTCCGACCAACTGCATAAGACAATGGTCAGGGCTAGAGAGACGTTTCCTTTTCCTCTCTAGGCACAGTGAGTTGTGGAGGACTGAGGCTAGAAAAAGTCCATTTAGAACACATTTCTTAAAGTATCCAGCAACAAACAGCAACAAGGCCATCCAAAAATGCACAACATGCAACATCAGGCTGGAGAGATGATCATAGCTCTTAGTCAACAAAGATTCCTGGGTTGTTGTAGGTTTTTCGGGCTGCATGGCCATGTTCCAGAAGCATTCTCTCCTGACGTTTCTCCTGCATCTGTCGCAAGCATTCTCAGAAGTTGTGAGGTTTCTTGGAAACGAGGAACATTGGGTTTATATATCTGTGGAAGATCCAGGGTGGGAGAAAGAACTCTTGTCTGTTGGAGCTGAGTGTAAATGTTTCAATTGGCTACCTTGATTAGCATTTGATGGCCTGACAGTTTTTAGGTGTGGCTTGTTACTGCCTGGGAAATTCCTTTGTTGAGTGGTGATTAGATGTTCCTGATTGTTTCTTGGCTGGAGTTCTCCAGTGTTTGAGTTTTGCTTTTCATTTAGTGTTATAAATTTAGAGTTATAAAGTTCTAACAATAAATAAAAAATAAAAATTATAACAGAGGCACTCCAAGTGGTCAGCTTCTGATCAAAGGACATTTAGCATAATGTCGAGTGTTAATTCTGTTTGTGTGTGGGTTTTTTTTTTAAAAAAAACATAATAATTGTACCCTCAATTCACTTCTGACACAATAAAAAAGGACGAGCAGATGAAGAATGGTATACAGTATGGCATATTCTGTATCTCAAAAACTAGAGCTCATTGGGGGAAACTGGGGCCATTTTTGAAATCAGCAGCTCATATATACCCAGAACCTGGACTGACATTTGGGACACCAGTGTTGGCCAGTCTAATCCAACAAGACCAAGGCAGTGACATCTCTGACCCATCCTCTGTTCAGATAACAGCCAGCACACCAACTTTCCACCATCCTTAAATAGGAATTTTCTTAAAAGCACAATATGAACAGTGGGCTCTTGGTATCTGCTAGGGTTTGATTCCAGGACCTCCAAAATCTGTGGATGATCAAGTCTCATTGTATACAATGGCTTCGTAGAATGGTGTCCCTTATGTAAGACTGCAAAATCAATAATATTTTTGGGGATTTTAAAAGAATATATATTTTAAACAATGGATGGTGGAATTGATAGGTGCAGAATACAGCCAGCCAGTTGTACTGAGGCCCCTTCTATACTGCTGTATAAATCCAGATGATCTGCTTTGAACTGGATTATATGGCAGGGTAGATGAGGCATGGGCAAACTTCGGCCCTCTAGGTGTTTTGGATGCCAACGTCGAAATCAATAAATAGTTTTCTAAGTTCTACAGATACTCGCAGGAACACCTCAGCAAGCAAGAGTCCAAAAGTGGCAGGTTAAAACCCAGAACCTCAAGCCATGGCTGATACCAAATTAGAGACTCCCTCCTGGGCACACAGAAAACTGGATGATTGGAAGGCGCTGAACAGATTGCTCTCTGGCACCATGAGATGCAGAGCCAACCTTAAGAAATGGGACCATAAAGTGGAGTCGACTACATGCGTGTGTGGAGAAAAGCAAATCACAGACCAACTATTACAAGGCAGCCTGAGCCCTGCCACATGCACAATGGAGGACCTTCTTATAGCAACACCAGAGGCATTCCAAGTAGTTGGCTACTGGTCAAGGGACATTTAATATAATGCCAAGTTTTTAAACTTTGTGTTTTTAAAAAATGCATTACAACTGTACCCTTGCTTCTGATACGATAAAACAATATCCAACATTGTCTGGAAGGCAACAATCCCCACCCTTATTATAATTCAACTCATCTGATTAGATGTCAATTGAGTCCTATGTGTAAAAGAGCAATGGCCAAGATGGTTTTTTCTCTTTTGCTGCAGTTATACTTTATTTTTTGAAAACAGGGAAGAAGTGACAACCGTAGTGGCTCCAATGGTTCCTCTGTTCCCTTTGTGTCGTGGCCCCAAGAATTACACAGGATGCATCTTTTGGCAACAGTTTGCAACCATTCCCTCAGACAGGTTGGACATTTTTGTGGGTTATTTTCCCCCCCTTTCATATTCCGGAAGGAAAGATGAGTGAGGATTTGAAGTGTATGTTCATCGTTCCCTCTCTCTCAATCTCTCTCAGCACAGTGAGTCTGGGGCCAGGCTTATCCCGTGTCCTTAGTCGAGGTCTCGGACTGGTCATTGTCGCTGTCTGAATTTTCCTGCTGGTGATGATCCAAGCGCCGGGTCACTTTGCTCAGGAATTTGCCTGATCCACCCTGGTGGAAAGGGCAGCAAACAAGGGGCTGAAGCATTGGGTATGGGCAAGGAATTGAGAAGAACTATAATTCTCTATTCTAAGTGCCTCCCTCCATTTCTATTCCTCCCTGGCATAGAATGCTGCGGGAAATACAAGGGAATTTGATGAGGCCAAGTACCAGCAAGGTATAAATTGTCATCCCAAAAGCAGTGGTCAATTTCGATGTGGAGGTTTTCACTGGGACAGTGTCTATAGCACCACTGCCAAACTCAAGGCTCATGGGCCGAATGCGAACTGCCTTGTTATTTCATGTGGCCTTCCAGATGCTGGAATTCAACTCCTGTATGTGCTCCTTCAATTTTTATCAGTTTTTTACTAATGTGTGCAATGCTTTGGATACAAAATAAATAAATAAATAAACTCCTGTATTCTTCATCATTAGATATCATGACCAGAGACGACTGAAGTTGTGATACGGTAACATCTGGAAGGCTACAGTTTGTTGGGTTTAGTCAGGAGAGTGCGGTTTGGATTTAGACACAAGGCTTGTGGATATGATGCCTGACTTTAAAATGTCATTTCACCTTTTCTTCAACCTTAGAGCCACAAGTACTATTGGATTGCAATTCCCATTATCCCCAGACTACCTGGCAGATAGTGGGGACCAAAACTGAGTAAAAACTGAAGAGAACTGACCACTATGTGGAAAAATTATAGTTAACTTCCACAGATTCTCCATCTATGGATTCACTGGCCCTTTGAAGGAACCGTAAGGCTGATTTGGCCCTCAATGAAAATGAATCTGACACCCCGGTCTATAATAGGTAAAGGTAAGGGTATTTCCTGACATTAAGTCTAGCCGTGTCTGACTTTGGGTTTGTTTGTTTGTTTGTTTGTTTGTTTTGTGTCAGGAGCGACTTGAGAAACTGCAAGTCGCTTCTGGTGTGAGAGAATTGGCCGTCTGCAAGGATGTTGCCTAGGGGACGCCTGGATGATTTGATGTTTTTATCATCCTTGTGGGAGGCTTTTCTCATGTCCCCGCATGAGGAGCTGGAGCTGATAGAGGGAGCTCATCTGCCTCTCCCCAGATTCGAACCTGCAACCTGTCGGTTTTTAGTCCTGCCGGCACAGGGGTTTAACCCACTGCACTACCTGGGGCTCCACTTTGGGGGTTGATGCTCATTTTCATTTCTAAGCCGAAGAGCTGGCATTGTCTGTAGACACCTCCAAGGTCATGTGGCCAGCATGACTGCATGGAGCACCATTACTTTCCTGCCAAAGAGGTACCTATTGATCTACTTGCATTTGCATGTTTTCAAACTGCTAGGTTGGCAGAAGCTGGGGCTAACAGTGGGAGCTCACCGTGCTCCCCAGATTCAAACTGCTGATCTTTCAGTCAGCAAGCTCATCAGCTCAGTGGTTTAACCCGCTGTGCCACCAGGGGCTCGGTTTAGGTCTTCCTAAATCACCATCAGATCCTTGGGATTACAAGGATAGCTCATTGGAGTGCATGAGCTCAGGACTGAAGCTAACTCAAAGAGAGATTAATGTGTGTGCGATGTCATTGCCTTTGGTCACCTGCCAGCCCATTGCCTACTGCATCAGTGGCCAGAAGTACAGGGTTAGGGTTGCCACCCCTCCTAGAAAAGTTATTTTTTGGACATGCACCTCGAGTGTGCATGCACATGCTTTTGGGAGTTGCAATCCAAAAAACTAACTTTTCCAAGCTCTTGGTGGGGCTAAGGAAATGGCCATTGCTCTTTTACACATGTTAATTAGCTTAACAGTATTCAAACTTAAGGTTCACACTTTTCTCTCCCAACACATGTCTATTAATATGCACTCACCTCTCCTTAAATAGTTAAGATTGAGAAAGGCCCAGCTTTTGGAGACCCCTCATGCTGGACAATTATAGTACTACAATTCCACTTTCTTTGCCAAGGCAGCGTCCTATGGAATTCTGGGGTTTCTAATTTGGAGCTCTAAATGCCTCTCTCAGGATTCCATAGGATGTTGCCATGATAGTTAAAGTGGAATCATATTGCTATAGTTAGGTAAAGAGCCCCAGGCAGTATAAAACCAATAGCTGAGGTGGCAACCCTAAATACTACAAAACCTTGAAAATAAAGTGAGAGGAGCACTCCGCAGCCTTCAGGACTCTGCATGAATGTATTTACAACTCCCTTAACTCCAGAGTCTGCTTGCCTTTGTTGGCTGAGGATAATGGGAGTTGCCACGTCTTGCCTTTCTCCCAGCATAAGGAATGGAGTGAGCAGACCTGTCCTTATGATGGGAGGCCAACCAGAGGATGACCCAGGCCATACCCTGCCACCTCCTGGCTCTGCTCTTTAGGCCCTCCTCTTCCCAAGCCCATCCCACCCAGCATGTGCCCAGCCCCTCTCCCAGCCTGCAATGTGGCTCCAAGGCAAAAGAGTTTGCCCAT